GAGGGCTGTGCAGGGACAGGGTGGCGGGGCGAGCGCCGGCAGCGCAGCAGGAGCCAGGGCTGGGCTGGGTGTTGCAGCCCCAGCAAAGCCCACAGGCACCTTCCCACCAAGGCTTGAGATCAGATTCCAGAGGTTTGAATAGCTGCGCACGCCGTCTAGTGAATTAAACCTCGCAATCAATACCGGCCGGGGTAAACAGTACCATTAAACTCATCTACATAACACATTGTGTAGACAGAGCGAAAGAGCACTGTAAAGAGGCCGGGTGTCAATTAAAACCTGGTGTAATATATAAAAGGGCAAGAGAACTCAATCCATCAGCGGCAGTGCCCTGCCAGGCTTGACAAGGAGCAAGCTCTCCACTTCCAACGCCTCGCCTGCCATTTCCACTGCAAACAACCACCACGTCTCAACCAGCGCGGTTATCGCAGTAAATCATTTCCCCTTCTGCAGCATCTGGGTCGTAAGTTTTTCCTCCTGCCGCCGCCAAGATCATTATAATACAAGGAAATGCCATAAGCGGCGAGCAAAACCAAAAGGGCTACCTTGAATACTCTTGGCACAAAAAATATGTGCTGATGTCAGGTCCTTCTCGGTGAAGTTTTATGTTTGTTCTCCAGCAGATCAGTGAACCCGAAGGCTGGGATTTAAAGTACCTCTATCCTCAAGGCTAAAAAAATCCTGGTTTTATGAACCGATGCTGCTTCGGTTGTTGATTTAAAGTCCATTCGCTAGCAGCGAGCAGCCCACATTTTTCCTTCTGGCGTGGTTTATGACCATCAATACTCAACCTGCATACCTCCACAGGGAGCCACATATCTTAGGCTTTTAAGAAATAATAATTAAACGCAGAGGACACCATTGCCCCCAAGTAACTTTCAACCTTTTACAGAGAATAAACCCCAGGTCTCCTGCCAGCTGCTGTAACCGCTGCAGCAGGGAGGTTGCTCATGAGGGTCTGGTAAAGTACAGGCACAAAAATGACCTGCGATGAGCTCCGCTTCCGAGCGTGGCTCTGCAGAGATAATGTGCCCAGTCTGAGGGCTCACAGCCCTGAAAGCCCTCAACCTCCCCCAGCTCTGCAACCCTTTTTCCACTGGGAAGCAGCCATCGGACCATGCAGGGGATGCACACGCGCTCAGTAAAGAGGGAAAACCTGGGATGGGCAGTTTAGGAGCAAACACCCCAAGGATGAAGTGAATTCAGAGCCAGCGAGCCCAACCTCCTGCTCCAACAGGAGAGGGACGTCTGCTTGGTGGAAATGCTCCTCAGGTTTCTCCACCACTCATGGAAAGGAGAGAGGATGAGCACAGCCATGGCAGCCCTGCTCCACACCTAGCCTAGCCCATGATCCAACTTCTGCCTCCTCCCAGAAGCCATCCCAATTCTCACTTGGTCTGAACCCGCTTCCAAACACCCAAGTAATTAGGTGAATCTTAGAAGTCAACAGCGGTCCCCATCTCTCTGATGACCTCCAGACCTCAGCTCAGCCAGGGCTGAGCACCAGGCACCCATGAACACATTCAAACACAAATCAGGATCATCATCCTAAATAAATGGCTTTCTTCCAGGCTTAGCCTCAAAGACAGCCTAAGTCCTGCCAGAGCTCTGGCTGTGGCGCTGGTTTCCACTGGGTGAAGGATCTGGCCCAACATCTACGCCAGCTTGCCCAGCTCTTGTAACTACAACTGGTCCCCAAATACAAAGATTTCCACTTGGAGTCCTTTGATGTAAAATATTTGATCACCACACTCAGAAAGCAGTTCCAGTTCTCTCAAACAAGACAGCCGCATCAAATGGGCTCTGCAAGGCTTCCCCCAAAACACAGAGGGTTACTGAAAAGCGACACATGGCTCAGCAGCCACCGCGGTTCTTGGTGGACATTAAGATGATGTAAAAACTGCAGAAAACATCCATCCAAAACAACCCCATGCAGCACTACAGGTTTGGGGAAGAGTGGCTGGGGAGGTGC